AGTTTAGGCCATTGCGTTAAAAAAACGTGAAATCAAAGATTATGTTCAGTTTTATTGATGTAATGATCAGAGGTATTTAAAATTAAAATCCTTGGAGATGGTTGCTACACGCTTGTAAGAAAGTTGACGGAGTTTTGACTATGTTGACTTAGTTTTGTGCGCCGTCGGATAAGTTCTGTCAGACGGCACATTTTTCTTGTCAATAATATTGTAGTGTTTCCTCTTGTCAAGAATTCTCAAAAAAATCCATCGTTTTATTCGCCAGAATTTTGAAACGAAGAAGAATGAACGATTCTAAAGTATAGCGGCATAATTCAGCTTTTTTTCCGGGTTCCACGTGCTTTTAGTGGGAACTTTTTTTTTATTGAAATTTATATTTCAATTTATGATTCTGTGTGAAGTTGATGAAAAGAACCAATATGATATTATCTGGTTTTTATTTGTTTTCATCAAGGACGCGCGAAACCGGGACTGATGATAGGTGTTTATTGTGATTCGTTATGCTTATAATTAGTTGTAACGAATTAAGGTCGCTTTATCGTTTTCTGCTCTCTAGAGTAAAAATCTTTATCTCAATATTGTATAATTTAATCTTTGGTGAAAATTCTCGTCTAAAGACTCTTTTCGCCCTTTGCAGCCATTTTGTTGTCCTTCACGAGAGACCAAGTCCGCTCGACGAATTGCTATTGTCTGTGGAAGATGCACCACCACGGTTGACGTGGAGAAGGAAATGGAACCTGGTCAAGCGTACCGCCATTCCGTTCATGGTGCCTCTTTTCGTCGTATACCTGGCAGAATATTTCATCAATCAAGGTCTCCTCGAACTGATCTATTTCACGAAGTTTGTTTTGAGCCACGATTCGCAGTACCGCTGGTTACAAGTGATCTATCAGCTTGGGGTTTTCGTGTCCAGATCGTCAATTCTTCTGTTCAGGATCCGGCATATTTATTTTTTATCATTTTGTCAGGTACTGAATTTGAATTGCATCTCTTGAGACATTGCTTCATTCAGCTTCGTTTTGCAGGTGGTGAATGTCGTGATTTTTATGTTACAAGCAGTGTTTGGTTACCTACCAAATTTTTATGTGGTGGTCACGCTTGTTCTCTTTGAGGGGCTATTGGGAGGATTAACGTATGTAAACGCGTTTTTCAGGCTACGATGTGAGGTTAGTTTTACTGTCCGAATTGTTGTAAATGGATTTTTGAGAGGTCATGAAACTGATTTTATTTTCCAGATGGAACCCAAGGAAGAGGAAGAATTTGCCTTGTCTGTTACTTCATGCGCTGATACATGTGGAATTGCCGTGGCTGGAGCTCTTGCCATCCCGACTCATACCTGGCTGTGTGGAGTACCTCTACCATGACTGATTTGTTTTGATGATACAAAGCTGATCAACCGCAGCTCCAGCTTACGATGTAATGGCATTGAGAGTTGTTGTGTATTTACCGTACTTCGTGGTAATGTAAATTTTGAGAATGTTATGTGGCATTGAATGAATTTTTCTAAGTTTATGAAATTACCGGAAACCTCGATGTTTTATTGTACCGCGCGTTGTGATGATGAACCGTGAGAATTTCCTTTCATCCAGTTCTACGCGCGGTATGCTTCTCCAGCAAATTTTCGTTCCAGCGGGATACATTTTCACATGATGAGTATATACAGAGTGAACCTGCCATTTCTAATGGCAACTGACTTCAATCATCCTCGTTGTGCCTCTTTCTGCTTCTCTGAAGTGAAAAAAAAAGAAATGTTGCGACTATCCATCCTCAGAATTTTCAAAATTAAGATTTTATGCAAATCTGCGGATTTCAGTATTCTGGAACAAAAACACAAACAATTTAAGGTTGAACTCTGTTGCAATCCAGGGTGCTTTGATTTGAATATTTTGAAAGATGCGTAAGTGCATGCTGGAAGCCTTCCAAAATTTTCTTGAAGTTGAGGATGCATAAATATATTGTGAAAAAACAAAAACTTTTCTTGTAGAGATACTTACTTTGTGGAGAACCCTTGTTTTATGGGTAGATAACCTCGGGACTGGACAGAAATTTGCTGTACAGAGAACATCCTTGTAGACAACATTGTCTTATTGTACATACAGTATGCATAGATATTAGTGTCCAGGTTCAGCACCTATATACAATACATCCATGGAAATATTGTAAGATGCAAAAGCGCAACTCATGAGTCATTTTTCCCAAAGAATTTAGAAACTTAGTCTTCTTGAGCTCTTTATTTGCGCACGAATTATTTTTTGTCTCGAAATACCGTAGCGGTGTTTAAAAAAAACGGACCTTAATAGTGACGTACACTGCATTGGAATACTGTACTGTACATCTCATTCATAGATGCGTTCCGTACGCGCGCGCCCTCTGTCGCGAGCTTTCCTGCCCGGCAACAGCTGCTTTGAAACCACGGTGTGTGGGATCCCTACTGCATGTGCACCCGCGTCATGCTGAGACTCCTTTGTCCGTAGCTATCACATGCACCGGTGTGGCAGGCCTACGGACGCGAACTAATGTGAATTTACGAAAGTGAATTCTATTTGTGTTGTCTTCGTCGTGCGTTAAATTATGGAAGTGCCCTGTGCTGAAAACATTTAAAAGTCTGATTTCTCTTTTTTCAGGAATGATTCATTAGATCTCAAGACTTCTGGGTGGTTGTTATGATACCTCAAGGCAGAGAATAGTCCCTGCCTGATTTTCGATCGACTGCGGCTTCCTCCGCGATTGCATGATGTCCGGAGCTTATTGTGCCACCTTCCAACAAATAAGAGTTCGTCATGGCCTAGTGCGACGCTCTCTCCTGATCAATAATCGATTTTCTACGCTAGCGAAATGTTCTCATTTTGAATCAGAAGCAATATCAAGTGCACATTTCCGTGTGAATTCGGAAATTCTTACAGCTAGGCTTTCGTACGTCCGGATTGGTGGTTTCCATTCATATGCGCCCTTGTGTGGGGATGATAAACCGTCGTCAAAATTAGAAAGCGCTGTCAATGCCTTGAAAGAAGAAAAGAAGGATATTTCTGACGGAAAAGCTGGGCCGGCGTTGGAAGATGAAAAGAAGCTTTCGAAACCTGGCGAATTGGCTGCACCGCCGTCTGTACCTGCAACAGCTTTGAAGCCTTCAATATGGGAACGTATCAAGAAAGAGGCCGCACATTATTACCACGGTTTTCGCCTTCTGTTCCTGAACGTGCGCGTGTGCAAAAAATACGTGAAAAAAATTTTACGAGGCGAAACGTTGTCACGGCGCGAGAATCAGCAGGTAATGAGAATCAGCAATTTTCTGAACAATGTTAGCCCAGGTGGGAATCTCGAACCATTTCTTTATAGCTTGTTCGGACAGTATCTGATCTGTTTCGGCTACTACCGTTCTCCATCTTCATAATTGTTCCATTCATGGAACTCCTGCTTCCTGTAGCGCTGTGGCTCTTCCCCAACATGTTGCCGTCTACATTTGAGAGTCAAAATGAGAAGGAAGAAAAGTTGAAGAAAACTTTTCGTATCAAACTGAAGATGGCGAAATTTTTGCAAGTTACGCTGGATGAAATGGCTGCTGAAGCGAAAAGAAGTTCGCATGAAACCTCCGATAAAGCGAAGGAACTCGTGGAATTTTTTCAGAGCGTGAGTATTCGGATCTATTCTTCAAATTTTTTTGCGATCGGAAGCTATGTAATTTCGATAATTTTCATTCTATGGGTGCATCGTGAAATCAGATACGATTTCGTATTGATCAAGCGTAAATAAAATAGCTGTTTGCTTACAATGTTTGCAATCTTTTTTTATGAAGTACGGTATTTTGAATCTATTCGGTATTCAGTACGCTATTAACAAGGTTTATTTTCATGGTCATTGCAGTTGATGAAAAAATTGTCGGCCAATCCTAATGTGGAAGTCTGTGATGCACGAAAATGACTTAGCTGTTGTATCCACCCGATTTGCAGAATATTTGTGCTGTAATTTTAGTATGTAAATCGGGTCAATGGTATATTCTGAATAAATTTCCTTGATGTCTGTGGAGAGATTTTTCTGCAGTTCATTATAGTTTTCGTCTTGAATCAATTTTTGCGAAAAAACCTTCGATGAAAAAAGAGTGTTCTGTCCATGTGTCGAAGTTGTTCCGTTAAAACTGAACTGAATTCGAGGAATTCAAATAAGTATTAAACTATTTTTTAACTTGCTTTTGTCCCTTTCTGACCTTTCGTAGCGCGTGTTTAGATCGACTCATTAAAGATGAACTGAATTATGAATTCTCTATCTAGCCTGATGCATTTTTCCTGGTCCTATTGTTGAAAAATCTGTGAAATGCTTCCGGAAATTTTGATTTATGTCTATTTTATCAACATATATCTTACAGGTTCGCCAAGGAGGTGGAAAAGTCAGTCCGGAAAAAATTATCCGCTTCAGTAAACTTTTCGAGGACGAGTTGACTTTGGATTCTTTGAATCGGCAGCAGCTCGTAGCCCTCTGTAGAATGCTGGAGTTGCAACCTATCGGCACTCAGGCCTTCCTTAGGTGGCAACTCCGAATGAGATTGCGAAGTTTGAAAGCCGATGATAAGCTCATCTTAAAGGAAGGAGTCGACAGTCTTACTGTTTGGGAACTGCAGCAAGCGTGTAAATCTCGCGGTATGAAAGCCTTCGGTGTTTCCGAAGATCGAATGCGTCAAAACCTCAACGAATGGCTCGTTCTAAGTTTGAACGAGAAAGTTCCAACTTCTTTGTTGCTTTTGTCTCGCGCATTGTATATTCCTGATGATCTCTCACCGGAAGTGCAGTTGGAAGCAACTATTTCGCAGTTGCCGGAGAGCGTCGTAAGTATCGTTCCTTCTACAACTTGATTGCACCGTTCTAGCTCGAGACTAAATTACCTTATCCAAATCTTCTCGTAGGCTCGTAAGGCAAAGGTCAGAGTAGACGAGAAGGAAGGCAAAGTCAGTTACAAAGATCAATACGAAATCGTGAAAGAAGAAGAAGCAATCATTGAGCTAGAAAGCGAAGAGCGAAGACTGGAAGAACTGAAGTTGATGGAACAAGCGGCGAAAAAAATTCACGTGAGTGCCTGGAATTTCGACGTTTGATGTTCCAATGCTTACTAGTTTTTGATGAATTTTTCAGATGCCGGTAGCCGAATCGATTTTGGGGGAAGGAGCGAAAGCTGTAGCCCAGTTATCTGCAATTACTGGAGAATCCACTGGAGCTATCGTTAATCGCATGGCACAATCCAATGTTGTAAGTATCGTCCACTCCTGGAAACATAATTCTGTCCCCTGAGTTCAAGAAAACTCAAATTGCACAGTTTCCCGGAATTCTGACACGTTTTAACTGAAGATCATTCAGTCGTGCCCTTCGTTTCTTCGAAGAAGGTATCCAAGAACATAAGATTTATAAGGTCTGTTGTGGTTTGAGCGGAGTCAGAGGAAACATGTTCCGTTAATCTTCTTGATCAAAAGTGAAAGCGTGAATCGAAAGAATAATTTCTTCGAATCTATTAGTTTTGTTGATCACTTCATTCAAGTTTAACTCATAATATTTTTGGAGCAATTTCAATTTTAAAATTTTTTTTGGATGCACAATGCATTTCTACAAATTTGGAATTTTTTTGGCTGGAGGAAGTTCAAATCAAAATAGGAAACGTTTTCTAAAAAAAATGTGCCAAGGGGTGGGATTGAACCGGGTACCTCCGCGACCGTTTCACTGCACCCTAATTTTTTTTCCATGCCAAGGAAAACCTGCTAAAAGTTGGTGCCACAGACACATGTTACATTAAAGTTCCCCCAGACCCCTATAGGATCCTCAGTTAACACTGCGGACGTTAAAAATTATGCACAGGGTGTATTCCATGGATTATGTAACAAATAGATAAAATATTATGGTAAAGCGAGTCAATTAAGCACAAACTCACAAACTGAGTCCTGCACTAATTTCTGGAACTTTTTCTGCCAAACAGCCGTTTTCAATCCATTAAATGCAAAGAAAAACTGAAAATATTTTACAGTACAGTACTATAACCTGATTCGTCGGAAGAAACTTATTGTTTTATGAAAATATTTAATCATTAATATTGTGTTTTCTCAGCTGAAAGATCGAGCCCCGATATTGGAGGCACGCCAAAAAGAGTTACCGAAGTACGAGGAGGACATGCAAGACATTGCCGACATTCCCAAGCGTCCAGCTGCTNCACCGGAAGTGCAGTTGGAAGCAACTATTTCGCAGTTGCCGGAGAGCGTCGTAAGTATCGTTCCTTCTACAACTTGATTGCACCGTTCTAGCTCGAGACTAAATTACCTTATCCAAATCTTCTCGTAGGCTCGTAAGGCAAAGGTCAGAGTAGACGAGAAGGAAGGCAAAGTCAGTTACAAAGATCAATACGAAATCGTGAAAGAAGAAGAAGCAATCATTGAGCTAGAAAGCGAAGAGCGAAGACTGGAAGAACTGAAGTTGATGGAACAAGCGGCGAAAAAAATTCACGTGAGTGCCTGGAATTTCGACGTTTGATGTTCCAATGCTTACTAGTTTTGGATGCATTTTTCAGATGCCGGTAGCCGAATCGATTTTGGGGGAAGGAGCGAAAGCTGTAGCCCAGTTATCTGCAATTACTGGAGAATCCACTGGAGCTATCGTTAATCGCATGGCACAATCCAATGTTGTAAGTATCGTCCACTCCTGGAAAACAGAATTCTGTCCCCAGAGTTCAAGAAAATTCAAATTGCCAGTTTCCCGGAATTCTGACACGTTTTAACTGAAGATCATTCAGTCGTGCCCTTCGTTTCTTCGAAGAAGGTATCCAAGAACATAAGATTCATAAGGTCTGTTGTGGTTTGAGCGGAGTCAGAGGAAACATGTTCCGTCAATCTTCTTGATCAAAAGTGAAAGCGTGAATCGAAAGTATAATTTCTTCGAATCTATTAGTTTTGTTGATCACTTCATTAAAAATTATGCACAGGGTGTATTCCATGGATTATGTAACAAATAGATTAAATATTATGGTAAAGCGAGTCAATTAAGCACAAACTCACAAACTGAGTCCTGCACTAATTTCTGGAACTTGCCGCCAAACAGCCGTTTTCAATCCATTAAATGCAAAGAAAAACTGAAAATCTTTTACAGTACAGTACTATAACCTGATTCGTCGGAAGAAACTTATTGTTTTATGAAAATATTCTTAGTAATTATAACACAAAAGAGTCGACTTTCTAGCTCGGGGCTATAACCTCCGTGCGGTTTTTCTCAATGGCTTCATGCTCCTCCTGTACGTTCTGTAACGGCTGTAAGGGTTCGCAGGTCGACGAGGAAGTGAAGTTCATGAGAAAGAGCCTGTCGTCGGTGATCACTCACAGGTTGTCAGTCAGGAAGTCCTCGAAAGTCTTGAGGATGCCATCGAACATCTGCAAACTGAGAAGCAGAAAGCTGTTCAAAGCGAACGAGAAAAGCTCGAAGCGATTAAGCAAGAAATTCTGGAATATTCCGAAGTGAGTCCTGGGTTTTATTCAGTTGTTTTTCTTCCTCAAATCTTATCTTGCTGACATGCAAATCCTGAAAATTTTACTGAAGTATCTTTGAAATGATATAAAAGCTTAAGTTGTTCAAATCATGCGTGGCGGAATGCTCGATAAAAAGGGCCCGTTGAGTTTCGGAAAACAGTCCGTGATTGTGACAATGTTGTATTTTATTTTCCAATGTCCAGGATGTCAAAGACTTGGAGGAAATCGCCAAGAGTTCTGAGGTTAAGGTTCGAGAGAGCCGTGCTGCCAAAATCCTCCACAAGAAAGTGCATTCGATGATCAGAAAAATGGATAAAGTTGTGAATCAGTTGGAGCTGGGTAAAACTGAGCTGGAAAGCCAGATCGAAGAGAAAGGTTCAACCGAGAAGAGGTGAGTCTGCGTAGTTTTTGACGCTGTTCTTGGTAGATGACAGGTAGCGATAACTTCATTTTATTGAGTAGCCTATGACCCTGTATGATTTAAGCCTTTGTATTTAATAAAAAAGTAGTTGGATAGCAACAAAAGTTCGGTGTGAAGGACTCTAGCCAGTTCCCTACTTTGTAAAGTTCTAAACTTTAACCAGTGAGAGACAATTAGTTAGTGTAAGACACATTCTCCATTTTTAATTCGCGAATCCAATTGGAATTTCAACAAATATCAAAGACCCAATCGTATAATTTCCAAACTGAATTCCCAAAGACACTCATTTCTGCATACTGCAGTAATAAGTATTACGCGCGCCTCACGCCCAGTGTCGCGCGCGTATTGCTGGCAGTTGGCGGCAGTTACTATTTCAACCAATTTGTTCTGGTTCTTTTTCTGTAGCAGGATGTTTGTTTGTCGTATTTCCTTCTTTTTTGACGGGTCTTCGTTTCAATAATCGATCTCGATCGTAAGCAAAAATCAAATTCTTTGCGAGTGTGTGCGTATAATCTAGTGCAGTGTTCCCCAACCCGTGGTCCGCGGACATTAGGCTGCTGAATTTTTCTGCAGCATAATGAATTTAGAAAAGTAGCTATCAAGTCTGTTATCTTCATCTGAAACCTCGGAAAACCGAATGGTAGTTAAAATTATCTGAAGAAAACGTAAGTTTGCTTTTACTCTTAATCACACTTGAAAAAAAAAGTATTTTAATCATTTCAGTCCGAGAAACCTTTCTTCAAGCCCACCTTTTTAACTTTTTGAAAACATTCCACTATGCGCCTGCTTCATTGGATTTCAATTTTTTCAACAAAAAAAAAGCAGAAAATTTTTGAATGCCTGCAGAAATCTTACAAAACTTTGCCAGTCTGCAGAATATTTTTGGGAAATTTGCCGGTCCGCTGGCCCAAAAAGGTTGGGAACACTTTCTAGTGAATATGTGGTTCAGAATTTCATCTTTTCAAATTTGAAGAACTACGGTATTTTGAAAATTCGAATTTCGTGACCGAGTATGAAATGGCTAATTTTTATCTCAACAGAGAACGAGAACTTGTTCGAGTCGAAGACTTGCTTGTGGCTATCAGTGATCTTCAAAAAGTGCCTGATGATACCTTGANTCAAATCATGCGTGGCGGAATGCTCGATAAAAAGGGCCCGTTGAGTTTCGGAAAACAGTCCGTGATTGTGACAATGTTGTATTTTATTTTCCAATGTCCAGGATGTCAAAGACTTGGAGGAAATCGCCAAGAGTTCTGAGGTTAAGGTTCGAGAGAGCCGTGCTGCCAAAATCCTCCACAAGAAAGTGCATTCGATGATCAGAAAAATGGATAAAGTTGTGAATCAGTTGGAGCTGGGTAAAACTGAGCTGGAAAGCCAGATCGAAGAGAAAGGTTCAACCGAGAAGAGGTGAGTCTGCGTAGTTTTTGACGCTGTTCTTGGTAGATGACAGGTAGCGATAACTTCATTTTATTGAGTAGCCTATGACCCTGTATGATTTAAGCCTTTCATAAATTATTTTTTCATCAACCTATCGTTGTTTTCAAGCCACACTTCCTGAGATCGGTCAAGGGATGAAACATTTCAAGATTTGAAATTGGTCACTCTCTGTTAATCAATCACATTCTGTGTAAGAGCATTTTGAATTCGCGAATCCAATTGGAATTTCAACAAATATCAAAGACCCGATCGTATAATTTCCAAACTGAATTCCCAAAGACACTCATTTTTGCATACTGCAGTAATAAGTATTACGCGCGCCTCACGCCCAGTGTCGCGCGCGTATTGCTGGCAGTTGGCAAGCAGTTACTATTTCAGCCAATTTGTTCTGGTTTTTTTTCTGTAGCAGGATGTTTGTTTGTCGTATTTCCTTCTTTTTTGACGGGTCTTCGTTTCAATAATCGATCTCGATCGTAAGCAAAAATCAAATTTTTAACGCATTTTTTGCGAGTGTGCGTATAATCTAGTGCAGTGTTCCCCAACCCGTGGTCCGCGGACATTAGGCTGCTGAATTTTTCTGCAGCATAACGAATTTAGAAAAGTAGCTATCAAGTCTTTTATCTTCATCTGAAACCTCGAAAAACCGAATGGTAGTTAAAATTATCTGAAGAAAACGTAAGTTTGCTTTTACTCTTAATCACACTTGAAAAAAAAAGTATTTTAATCATTTCAATCCGAGAAACCTTTCTTCAAGCCCACCTTTTTAACTTTTTGAAAACATTCCACTATGCGCCTGCTTCATTGGATTTCAATTTTTTTCAAAAAAAAAAAGCAGAAAATTTTTGAATGCCTGCAAAAATCTTACAAAACTTTGCCAGTCTGCAGAATATTTTTGGGAAATTTGCCGGTCCACAAAAAATTTTAAGGCAATTTGCCGGTCCGCTGGCCCAAAAAGGTTGGGAACACTTTCTAGTGAATATGTGGTTCAGAATTTCATCTTTTCAAATTTGAAGAACTTACCATAAAACTTTTAAGCTTAAAGCACTGGCTCATACTTTACCGATTAAAAATAGAGTTGTCTCTTGCTCTTGAACAAGCTCAGCTTCTGAACGAACACCGATAGTCACTAGAAGTTTTTCACGGACTTGATACCTTGAAGAAGCGTATCGCCGAAGTTCTACGTTTGTTCGACGAAGACAAAGATGGAGCAGTTGACGTGAAGCTCGTTGTACGGGTGCTTGAACTCCTCGGCAAAGAAAACATCAAGCTGAGTGACAAGATGGTCGGCGAATTAATGAACCTTGTCGATAGGCAGAAAATTCTCGACGAATTGGATTCCCCCAAGCGTGAACGTCAGGCGTCGGATTCAGCTGTTGCTGACCGCCAGAATTCAACTACAGGGTCGCAGAAAGTGAACGAGAATCGGCGAAACGTTTAAGACTAGATGGCACGACATCCACCGATTCCGGTCTGTTTCGTGCGGCGATTTTTCATTCTGCAAAACCGTGTTTGATTTTCCCTCGTCGGTTTTGTGCTCAAGGCATTTCATGTTCGACGACGGATCTTCACTGTTGGGCCTTCTTGTTTTGGATAGTGTCTCCTACGAAGCGGGCAATAAGGAGAAGGCTGCCGAAGATAGATCTTCTTGAAAGTTCCGTTGTTTTTTGCTTGGTTACACCTGAACGAAACCGATTCGCGCAACGGAAAATAAACATGTTCAAATATTGTCGCGTTGGTTTTCGCATGTATGAAAACGTGATCTGCTGAATGCTTAATTCAGCTTGCAGTTCGTGAAGGACGTTGAGAAAGTAAACCAAGTCATGCTCTGTGATGGCTTCCCATAGGAAGCGTTGCCTGCGCGGTTCGAAGTGAGCATTTGAGTCGATGGTATCCCGTGTTGTGCTGTAGACTTGTAAGTTTTTCTGGACCGATTATCTCGCCGGTTCTTCCTGTGTTGCTTGGTTTTTTCTGTTATGCATTCGTTGGACACGAGACGGATTTCCTTCCTGAAATTGCAGCTGTTTACGTTGGTCCACTTTTATAGTCTTCCGTTGTGGCGTCATGTGCCTGTGGGGAGCTGGGTGGTAGTAAAGGGTAAATTATTACAACCATGCATGGTCGAATCAAAGCCAAATAACGCTCAACACCTCCTTAGTTTAAAATTAACTCAAAAATCGCACATAGGAAGGTAGACATCGCACTAAGCTGCTAACAAGATTTAGTCGAAAGGAGCTGAAAAAGATGAGCCGAAACCCTTCTCAAATGCATATTTGCGTTGGAGTATTTAGAAAAATTGAGGTTTTGGGTCTCCCCTATTTCTTCCAAGTTAGTCATTTAAGAGTGGACAGACATGTCCCTTTATTTAAGGACAGAAATAATTAGCAAGTACGATATAGTGCATTGAATTCTTAATGATGTGTATGGCAGATGAGTTGAACTGAGGGATTAGGCCCTTACAGTACTTTAATTCCAAGCTGTGGATTTAATGGTATTGCGTACAGCACTGTAAATGAAATTTCAAGTTTAACCTGGAATTTGTTTTTTAATCAGTCAAATGAAAATAATGACATGTCCTTGGTCTTGAGGATGCAGGATTCCTGTCTGGTGTACCATATGTGTTCGAGTCACCTAAAATTCAAATGCATGTCACCTATGTATGATAAGTTTGTGGCCACATTGCCTTGAATTGGAATTAGATTTGTGATGCTGGTTCTTATTGCTTGATTGATCAAGACTTTCAAAAAAATCTAAGTTTAGTTTTGATGGAGCAAATCTTGTTTGATGGGTTGAATTACAGTACTGTACTGATAATCAAGCCATAACATTCACCTGCGTCTGCATATTTAATCACCGGAACCCGATTTCACCATCAGGACCAACGAGCAAATTTGTATAACATTTCAATTACCAAAACCAAATCATATCCACTGTTCTTCAATCAGGATCGAACTCCTGGTGTAGATGATTTTCATGATGATACTTACTGAAAATTTTTCGCATAAAACCGCGCGGCGGATGCAATTGTGTAAAATTTAATGGGTCAAATCCAAAGCAGCTTTTAGGGATACACATACTTCGGGCGGATTATATTTTATGTGGCCTAATGCAAAGCTATACTGAGTTCTTTAGGGCATCGTGCAATGCATTCACAGTTTTCGTTTAAATATGCTTTGGGTGTTCCCGATTCCGAACCATTGCGTTGTAACTGAACGAACTTTTGCCAATACGTACTGTCTTGTACGTTCGCCTCATTATCCGTCATCAATCAGGAACAGCCTGGTCCAGTTTTTTTTCATGATGCTATAACCGTCTTATTCTGGTCCTTTTTCATAACAGCCGTGAAATCTTCAAGAATCTCACACTACAGCAGCAGCAGTTGATCATCAATTCAAATCCAGATCATCATTTGTTTTTTCCTTAATTTTTTGTTCATTTATTTACAAACAAAATGTCCTCTAAGTACAGTATAAGGAACAATCAGTATGTCAAATGGTTAAAATTTGAATAACACTAATTTTGAAAGAAAGGGTTTTTTATTGCAGCTTCATTGACGGGTAATTTCTTCCTATTTTGGAAAACAGGTGGAATCTTCAACAGAATTCACAGGACCAGCAAAATATGTTATTACAGAGAAAATTGTTGTAGAAGAGTCTGCCTTATACAGTACTGCCCTTCATTTCTTCCGAACTGATGGACATTCTATCCTGGCATTATTGAGACTATGAAGAATGGAGTACAGTATTGTTTTACAGTATAAAGGTGTAATAAGGTACTGTACAATACTTCAGTACTTGAAGCCGGAAATTAAAGCAAATATGCATCTGTACTTGATAAGATCATGTGTGAATGTGCTTACTGTCGAACTTGGTCACTTGAAAATAAATCCTTTGTTCGGCGTACCCCTGCAATCTGACGCGCGTGAACTTCTCGGTGGGTCACCTCTCGTGTGCAAATGCCGACTTAAAATTCGCCGGAGGAAAGAGAGGTGTGCTTGGTTCAGTGAAGACCTGTAGCCGCGAGATGTTCTGGTCCACGCTGAAACTTAACGAGTATCTGGAAATGAATTAAAGAACGGTGTCGGAATTGGACCATAGATATGTAATCCGCAACAACGTAGCAGTGGTGATCAGGTTTAGTCGCGTGCGTATTGAGCGTAGCGTTTTTTTTTTTTTGGGTGGATTTTACAAAAAATTACACGTAACATGCTTCAGGGTTTGTGGTTGCTGGCTCTTCCGGCGTATGTGCGAGGTGATGCGGCGGCTCGAGTGAATCATTGAACACAAGGGAGCATGTCCTGCATCTTCAAGTCTTTCAGGGTAAGCAATAATGACACCTAAAGGATGAAGGTCGGTCAACGAATAGATTTCCACGGTTGTGGAATGAACATCAATTTGTGACTGCTACGTCTGTTCACCTCGTGAAACCGCGTGATGGCGTCGTCTCTTGATGGCAGTGGCAAAGAANAGCTTGCAGTTCGTGAAGGACGTTGAGAAAGTAAACCAAGTCATGCTCTGTGATGGCTTCCCATAGGAAGCGTTGCCTGCGCGGTTCGAAGTGAGCATTTGAGTCGATGGTATCCCGTGTTGTGCTGTAGACTTGTAAGTTTTTCTGGACCGATTATCTCGCCGGTTCTTCCTGTGTTGCTTGGTTTTTTCTGTTATGCATTCGTTGGACACGAGACGGATTTCCTTCCTGAAATTGCAGCTGTTTACGTTGGTCCACTTTTATAGTCTTCCGTTGTGGCGTCATGTGCCTGTGGGGAGCTGGGTGGTAGTAAAGGGTAAATTATTACAACCATGCATGGTCCTTAGTTTCGGTTTATTGCGAGTTGTGGAGGAATCAAATTTTAATTGAGTTTTTAGCGTGTATCCTTCCATCTGTAGCGTGATTCGACGATTGTTCTAAATCAGCTTTCCTCGACTTTTTCTACTCGGGAAACCCTTCTCAAATGCATATTTGCGTTGGAGATTGGAGTATTTAGAAAAATTGAGGTTTTGGGTCTCCCCTATTTCTTCCAAGTTAGTCATTTAAGAGTGGACAGACATGTCCCTTTATTTAAGGACAGAAATAATTAGCTAGTACAATATAGTGCATTGAATTCTTAATGATGTGTATGGCAGATGAGTTGAACTGAGGGATTAGGCCCTTACAGTACTTTAATTCCAAGCTGTGGATTTAATGGTATTGCGTACAGCACTGTAAATCAAATTTCAAGTTTAACCTGGAATTTGTTTTTTAATCATTCAAATGAAAATAATTACATGTCCTTGGTCTTGAGGATGCAGGATTCCTGTCTGGTGTACCATATGTGTTTGAGTCACCTAAAATTCAAATGCATGTCACCTATGTATGATAAGTTTGTGGCCACATTGCCTTGAATTGGAATTAGATTTGTGATGCTGGTTCTTATTGCTTGATTGATCAAGACTTTCAAAAAAATCTAAGTTCAGTTTTGACGGAGCAAATCTTGTTTGATGGGTTAAATTACAGTACTGTACTGATAATCAAGCCATAACATTCACCTGCGTCTGCATATTTAATCACCGGAACCCGATTTCACCATCAGGACCAACGAGCAAATTTGTATAACATTTCAATTATCAAAACCGAATCATATCCACTGTTCTTCAATCAGGATCAAACTCCTGATGTAGATGATTTTCATGATGATACTTACTGATAATTTTTCGCATAAAACCGCGCGGCGGATGCAATTGTGTAAAATTTAATGGGTCAAATCCAAAGCAGCTTTTAGGGATACACATACTTCGGGCGGATTATATTGTATGTGGCCTAATGCAAAGCTATACTGAGTTCTTATATGGCATCGTGCAATGCGTTCACAGTTTTCGTTTAAATATGCTTCGGGTGTTCCCGATTCCGAACCATTGCGTTGTAACTGAACGAACTTTTGCCAATACGTACTGTCTTGTACGTTCGCCTCATTATCCGTTTCCGTCATCAATTAGGAACAGCCTGGTCCAGTTTTGTTTTTTATGATGCTATAACCGTCTTATTCTGGTCCTTTTTCATAACAGCCGTGAAATCTTCAAGAATCTCACACTACAGCAGCAGCAGTTGATCATCAATTCAAATCCAGATCATCATTTGTTTTTTCCTTAATTTTTTGTTCATTTATTTACATACAAAATGTCCTCTAAGTACAGTATAAGGAACAATCAGTATGTCAAATGGTTAAATTTTGAATAACACTAATTTTGAAAGAAAGGGTTTTTTATTGCAGCTTCATTGACGGGTAATTTCTTCCTATTTTGGAAAACAGGTGGAATCTTCAACAAAATTCACAGGACCAGCAAAATATGTCATTACAGTACAGAGAAAATTGTCGTAGAAGAGTCTGCCTTATACTGCCCTTCATTTCTTCCGAACTGATGGACATTCTATCCTGGCATTATTGAGACTATGAAGAATGGAGTACAGTATTGTTTTACAGTATAAAGGTATAATAAGGTACTGTACAATGCTTCAGTACTTGAAGCCGGAAATTAAAGCAAATACGCATCTGTACTTGATAAGATCATGTGTGAATGTGCTTACTGTCGAACTTGGTCACTTGAAAATAAATCCTTTGTTCGGCGTACCCCTGCAATCAGACGCGCGTGAACTTCTCGGTGGGTCACCTCTCTGGTGCAAATGCCGCCCACACCGACTTAAAATTCGCCGGAGGAAAGAGAGGTGTGCTTGGTTCAGTGTAGACCTGTAGCCGCGAGATGTTCTGGTCTACGCTGAAACTTAACGAGTGTCTGGAAATGAATTAAAGAACGGTGTCGGAATTGGACCATAGATATGTAATCCGCAACAACGTAGTAGTGGTGATCAGGTTTGATCGCGTGATCAGGTATTGGCGTAGCGTTTTTTTTTATTTTGGTGGATTTTACAAAAAATTACACGTAACATGCTTCAGGGTTTGTGGTTGCTGGCTCTTCCGGCGTATGTGCGAGGTGATGCGGCGGCTCGAGTGAATCATTGAACAAAAGGGAGCATGTCCTGCATCTTCAGGTCTTTCAGGGTAAGCAATAATGACACCTGTTCCTACTTCCAGCCAGTTGCTTATCTAAAGGTGCCAACACCTTACTTGTAGTTAAACACTGACGATGCAGACAAGTGGAGCACTTTGGCGCACTACCGCAGCAGAGAACTACCGTCACCGTTTCTTGAAATAAAGACGCAATTTTCGACTCGCGAAGGAATCTACAAGAGAATCAACTTGGCGGAGTATTCAAAGCCCATCAGGATACCGTACAATACGCAGCCTGGGGCGAGTACTCCCGTCCGCGTCAGCTTCGTAACAATTCCAGATTCTTCTGCAAACGACGAAAAAATTTGCTTTAATGTTGGCCGAGACCTTTATGTGTATCCCTACAAAGGTATTCGAAAGGTGGGGTTTATGCGATTGAGTGTCGTTAAGTATGGGTTTTCTCGACACGTGATTTTATCTTTCAGGCATCCGACATAACTAGACCTGTCGACAAACGCATGTACAAGGGAACCAGCCCTACGTGTCATGATTTCAATTTGTCCACTGCGTCTAGCGACGGTGTTGCGTTGCTTGTTGGGTTTTCAGAAGGACAGATACAGCTTATTGATCCCATCAAGAAAGAATTGAGCAAATTATTTAACGAGGAGGTGAGTGGTAAATGAAACTAATCTGGTTTATTCGAATATTAGACGCACTTCTTATTCTATGGGGCTCGAATTACGTTAAAAATGTTGCCTGCTAATGCGGGACGAACTTTCGTTTGATTGAATTTTTTTGAATTAGATGCACGATTTGATTTTTCTGATGCCTTGAGCTATTCGCAGGGCACGTATTCTTCCCGAGTGGGTAAGCTAAGACAACCCTGTCGAATGTGAGACACTCCCTAATTTGTTCCAAGTATGATTGCGAAATTAAGTTCGTCGTTCACATCGAGTCAATGCGGTCGATTTTGTAGATGGAAATAGGGAATGATGATTACTCGTTTTCTGTAGCGCCAGATTGACAGAACGAAGGTGACGTGTTTACGCTGGGTTCCTGGATCGAAGAACGAATTTTTGGTGTCGCACAGCAGTGGGTACATGTATGTGTACAACGAGGAGCTTCCGTGTGGTACAGCGCCACCGCTGTATCAGGTGGTGAAGCAAGGAGAACGTCTAACCGTTCACTCTTGTAAAACGAAAGCGACCCGAAATCCTGTGTATCGTTGGATGATAGGCGACGGAAATAGCGGCTGCGTCAACGAATTCGCCTTTTCACCCTGTCGGAAATACCTTGCAGTCGTTAGCCAGGATGGGTTTCTTCAGGTGTTCAATTTCGTCTCTATGGAACTAGTCGGCTATGCGCGCAGCTATTTCGGTGGATTGTTGTGTGTTTGCTGGTCTCCGGACAGCCGTTACGTGGTCACGGGTGGGGAAGACGATCTTGTGACTGTGTGGTCCTTGCATGAGAAGAGAACAGTTGCGCGCGGACAAGGTCATAGATCATGGGTTAGCGTCGTAGCGTTTGATCCATTTACTTCACTGTACGAAGATGTCGTGAGTGGTGGTGATCAGCATTGCATCACCTGCTACCGATTCGGATCCATTGGACAAGATACGCAGTTATGTTTATGGGACCTCACGGACGATGTCTTGAAGCAACCTGCAGCGAAGAGTCGGACTTCAATGATATTTGGAGCTACCGGTATACCTTTAACTTCGTCAGCAGTGAACCACACAGATTTGAGTGCCGTTTCACAACGTCTGTCAGCAGTTACAATCGATGCAAAGGAGCCCAGGAAGATTGAGAAAAGAAATTTCTCCTTCGGACGAAGTTCGGACAAAAATGCGATGAAGGCAGGAGTCGATTCGTCGTGTAACTCCCAGTGGATAGAAGATCCTGTGCGGTTAATCGGTTCCCCTGCGTGTCCGCGATTGGACGAATGTCCCTTACTCGAGCCTCTAGTGTGTAAGAAAGTTTCTTACGAGCGTCTGACCGCCTTAGTTTTCAAAGAGGACTGTTTTGTTGTTGCGTGCCAAGATGGTATAATATCCCCGTGGGCTCGTCCGGATCGAAGCATCTGTTCCATGGAAATGCTGTGACTGCCGCAGTGATACAGGGTTTTGCGTACTGGAAAGATTCACACATGTGGCTTCTCTATTGTTTAATTCATTCATATTCAATTCTATGAAATAACTTGGAATCGCGTCTTCGAAAACATTGAGAGATTCCATTGTTTTGGATCAAATCTGCTTTCAAATTTCAATTATAATCCGCCTTTTAATAGCTCTGAAATAGTAGAGGTAACTGTACTCGCCTTTCTCCTGCTCCGGTTCTAAGGTTTTTGCAATATGCCTAAAACCACTAAAAAAAAATGTGAAAAAATTTGGCGTCATTTTCTTCGGTTTACAAGAAGACATTCCATAAAATGATCAAAATTCTTGAAGTACCTTGAAAACAATTCAATGAACGTAAAGTTTTGAAAATTCTATGTATATTCCTGATGACAATTGAGAATGAATCTGGTGGTAAGGTCACGTCGAGTGGCGAACAGTCCTTCAATATTAAGTATCCTGCCGTTTTGAGCAACATTTTTCTCGGTTTCTTAGTGTCCTCACGCCCGTTTGTTTTTTTTTTTCCCGTGCAGTTCAAAATTCTCGAGAAAATGTCACACATATCTCTCGCTCGGCATTTTATATCTTTTGCGTTATGAAATTTCCGCGACGCTAAACTTCGTGCTATACTTTGATTTAATTTTGCTGTATACTGCCGCATTTTCCTTAATGGTCCTTGTTTTTGCTTTGTTAGATGCGGGAAACGTTTCTGAAAGCTTGATTTAATTGACATATTTCTGTCTTTTTATGCCAGCGATTGATCGCAGAAATTCATGGAAAGCCACTTGTGTTGTCTGCAGAAATTTCTAGATCGCAATTTCCGTTTCACGGCTGTGTGACCAATCATTTCTTATTGAGAGCGACGCTTCGCTGTCGGGGACGCTGACCCGATATTTCATCAGGGGCAACGTGGCTTATGTGATAATTTCGTACATTTTCCATGGTGCACGTTTCCCCAATTTTTCTCCCGGCGCTCATATGCATAAGGTCCGAGAACGCGAATGGTTCAGTTTGTGATACTACTTTATTTTGATCATCAACGAAGTTTTTGCGGATTCCGTTATTTTGAAACGCTGTTAATCTTTTCAGTATATTCCATTGTATTCTCCTCGCCTTAATGTCGAGGTATTTTTGGTTCAGAGTCTTAGGAAAAGATGTATAAGTTACCGGGTCCAACGCAACTCTGTTTCATGCAGCGTATCGGGAAGTAGGATTCAAAAATTTTTTTTTCACCCTGAACACACGAATCGGAAGTGTGATGGATATGAATTTTCCTCAAATAATTTCCCCCTCAAACTTGGGTGAGATTTGGAAAATTCTTTGTAAGAGCTTCCTTTTCTTCCTTTCTTTAACACAGAAGTGCTGAATCTGAATGGAACGTGATTGAATATTCCTGTAGGTCTTGTTTCAGAGCGCTCCTTCTTAGCACTATTGGAGGAAGAAATTGAACAATCGGGAACGATTCAGAAATCGTTTTGTTCGTTTGAGTATGGGAAAAGATTAAAATTGTTTTCAAACCGACAATAAAGTGACGGGAATCGACTACTTGAAGTTGCGAAGATTTTGTTATTGGAGTTGGCGTCCATTGTCATGAAATATTTTTTTGCAGCAGATGTGCATGTGCATTTTTATTTTAAAAGAAAATGGAGTGTAAATCGCGTCAAGTGACGAAAAAGTGGATCGTTGATGGAAAGATCAACGGGACTTTGCTTTTGGACGCGTTATCTTCTTATTGTTGCCAAATAGTGGATTTTGTGCTACAGAATCGTTTCCAAACGCCGGAACTACACGTTGCTGAACATTTCTTGAATTTTGTGGATGAAGCGCCTGAGCAAACGGTGAGATATATTCATTACGATATCAGATACCAGGGACGTGTTTTAATACTTTTAAATGTCTGAAGAACTGTCATTGTAGTCTGATGAATCAAAACTAATGTTAAACATATCTTTACATGCCTTGTTGTTGCACAAAAGAAGCATACCATTATGATACTTTTAATTTTATTCAACAAGTGTAGCAAACATTTTTGAGCTGCCGTAAGTTTGGAAGGATTCGGTGAAGGATTTTTTGCGACTATTCGGTGGTCCGTCTGTTACAGAGTATATGGCGATTACGTTTAGGTAAAAATTTATATTTTCAAAAATGTCTAGGTTATTTTGGATTTTTCCCTGAATGTCATTCTTTGAATGATTTTCCTAATTCTTAGGTGCCTTGCTAACTGTGATAATTTTTTTCCCTTTCCAGAATACTTCTGATGAGTCAAGGACTCAAGGTATTACCATGAGAGGTTCCCTGAATAATTCATGTTAGTATTGAATTTAGATTTTATTTAGGAAGCAACCCTATGTTTCTCAAAATTGACTGAGGGATTTCAGTTGCCTGTTAGGTGACTCGCAAGACTTTCTATAAACTTCTCACATTATTATTGAAGAAAGTTTTTTGCTTCTTTTTCAACGTTGTTAAAATTTAGGCTTAAAATTTAGGAACGTTGTTCAGAGAAATTTTAATGTCGTTATTTTTCGCAGACGAGCTCAACATCCTTGGGGCGTCGTAGGGGAAACTTCAACATGAAAAGAATGCGATTGGTGGCGGAAAATATCCGCAAAACCCATTCAGTTTGCGCTGAAGTGAATGAGGTAAAGTTCTACCGTTTTTTCTAAGTGGATACAAAATTCAGTTACTTCCCACACTACGATGGTTCAATTGCAGGCACTGAATTACGCTTTCATGGCGCACATTTACGGTGATATTACTCTGAAAGAAGTTGATCTCGTTATTGGTCCCGTCCTAAACGCACCCAGAGAAATTTATCGAATCATGATTCCTCCTCGTCACGCGCTTGTGGATGCTGATTCTCCCAAAGTTGTGGAACAACAAACGAATCTGCTGAAGCGTCAATTTCTTATGTAAGTTTGTCAAGCGATTGTCGAGGTCTTGAAGTACATGTCAAAGTCGTGATCCATCTTTCGAAATTATCTAGTTTTCAAGCTTTTCTATTAATGGTAAAGTTTTGCTGGCAATGAAAAATCGAAGTTCGTCAGAATTCCTTGTTCGTACTGCATTGATTTTCCAAGCATCTTGATAATCAAATGATAACTTCCAGGCTTCTTAAGAATGCGAGTAACGTCATGTGGATGCGTGCTGTTGAATGCTCTCTGTGCATTTCAACCACTGCGTTTTTTTTTTAATGTACATTTTCTACCTTTTTCATATCTTGGTCGACTTCGTATACAAGAAAGTACAGTATTGCCTCGCCTAATGGACGTGATCCGTCCGTCCCTGATGAAGTTCATTAACCGAAAGATACGAAGTCTAGAATTTTAGATACAGTACCTTGTAGAGAAGCCTAATATGTTCCACTTTTTTGAAGTTTCCTCATTATGTCTTTGAGTAATTTACGAACTATTTTTGTGACGCACTTCATGATATAAAGAAATGGCTGAAATTATTAGAACCAAGGAAAAGAGCAATATTTAAAACTTTAAAAGAAAAAAAAAACTTTCATCTGCATGAGACTAGCGGTAATTTTTTCGGAAGCAGTTTCGATGCTTCTGATCGACAAATGCTTTTCGTGCAGTCTAATAAGAAAATCAGGGTCCATTATGCGAAGCAAGAATTTGTGGCAACTCTATATACAGTATTGTATAGTACGTCCATTATGCGCGACGTTCATTCTCTGTAGTACCGTTTTCGTGTATGCCAACTTTTTTGTTTTACCGGTTTCCCCAAGAATTTTTGTGTATATTGGCGTTTCTGAATATTTTATGTTTTGTTTAAACTTCCGAAGAATTTTTTCTTTCGTGTGTACATATCTCGTTAAAAAATTTCGACGAACCAGCCTTTTCGTCAGTCGCCTTTTTGATATTGTTAGCATCGCGTCATTTTATAGTTCGTGAATTAACTCGAGCACATTTTTATCATGAATTTATCCGGTTTTTTTCTGCGCATAACGTTTCTGCCTTCGTAAAAATTCTGCAAATGAAAATCAGCATTGATTGATTCATTTCCGTTGTATTCGCAGGTATCTCTCAGCGTCAGAAGTGTTCGGTTTGTTTTTCAGAGATAATTTACGTCCGACTAGCACACGTATTTGCATTCGGACGGCACTGGAAGATAAACTCACGACTCCGTTTGTTGCCATGTCGAAGCTAAATTGCGGAAAGAACGTGAAAGAACTTGTTCTGCGTTTATCGCAGGCAAATTGTGAAAGTGTTCTCAGTTGTGTTGATGATGTAACCGTGCTTCCATTATTGGAGGAGGATTGTGATTCTCGTTATTTTTTGGTTCCGCAAGCAATCAAAGGTTTCACTGTCCCGAATTATTGAAGCGTGGTTCGCTTGTGGGGATGACGAACAAGTTATATATTTTGGATTATTTTTTCAAAATGAAGTTTTTACGAACGGAAGTTCTATTTTTAGCGTATTGTGCGATTCCAACAGTATTTTGATCCCGCATCTGTGAATAATTCGTTGTTAATTTAAGGCTATTTTAGGTTTAAAATAATACCGTGTTTTTCTGTGAAGAAGAATGGTCTCGTATAGCTTCTTTTTTTTTCTAAAAGACGCGCTGAGGCTCCTATGTTTCATGAAGTTAATGGGGAATTTATACAAGTTTTCCAAATTTTCAAATCACAGAATACGAATGCTGGATGTTGGGCTGAATTTAGGATAAACCCCTGAATTTTTATAACTTCGGATATTGTCACTCACATTACTGTGGATAATATCTGTGACGTACAAAATTGGGGTCTCAATTGAGGAAACTCACTTCTCGAGATACACTTTATTACTGATTTACTGTACTGTACTCTCATTTTGGGCGTATATCTAGAGCGATGTCAGAAAATTTTACTTCGTGTTTATTACATGAAGAGTTTATATTTTCGGGGAAACACGGTAATACAGTGCATACTGCCGATAATTTAAGGTGTACATTTTTAGGTGCACTTTTTGGAAGAAGGTTCAAAAATGCTGTTGGAATTTTAACAGTTATCGTGAGGCCTGGCGACGAGATCTACTCGGCGTATTTCAAGATTCCAGAAAATTTTATCCTGCTGTTTTAGACCACGTTTTATGACTGGGAGACGAAGTGATGTGTTCTTAGTGACTCTCGGTGGAGACGAAACTTATTGATAGTTTTATGATCGCACGACGCGGACAGACACTGATGATTCGTTGAACTGTGAAACCATTCGTCGCAATGGACACCAGTAATACACCAAGATTACGTGAGCTGCTTCGTCGCAACCGAGAGGATGAGGTTCGTAATTTTCTATTGTTTCTCGTGATCATACAAGACGCTTTTCGAAAGGGAACTTTAATTTGAAATTAAATTCTCGAAGAACTTGGACGTAATCCTCCGAACCATTTCGAATGAAAAATTAGACCTTGCAAGTCTCATAATTTCCTCAAGATTTTCAATAGCCGTTTGATCCGAAATACGGTACAGTATTTCTTGCTCACCAATTCAGATTCTACGTCTACTTACACATTCATCTCCGCTACTGCTGCAAACAATTCGTTAAGATCTAATTATAATGTGGAACATGAAGGATCTTCATTGATGAGGTTTCTAATTGATCAAGATACTGTACCCGATGACAGTTCAATTGCCTGCAAATCCACGAAGCGGGCAAGCGTGGCGAGTAAGCCTGATTTCCTCATTGAAGAAATGCACTCAGTCCTCTCCATTTCATTAAAAATTAAGCCAATCAGGAAATTACGCATAATTGCTCCGTAAAAATTACATGGATCTCCAGGAAATGAGAGAAGCACGAGATAAAATACATAAACCAAGTCCAGTAATTTTTCGGTGCTGCACGATAATTCAATTCTTGCCGTGACATTCATTAACTTCAAATTTTTAAAATTGTTTTCCACAGGCGTTTAGCGAAGGCTATGATTCCCACGAACCTGAGGTTGAATTCCTGTATGCCGATTGTGATTCGCAAGCAAACGAAATTGCCCAGTTGTACAGCTACACGGAAATGCCGGAATTCCAGCTAAATTTAAAGGCGAGTTTCGTGACGCTCTGTATAGATTTTGAATGTCGTCGTAACATTTCCAAAAAACCAATTCATAGGCCTTCGACGACCTCATGGCCCAGTACGGTTCAGAGCGACTGTGGCAAAAAATGGTGGATCGTGAACGAGAAGCTGTGATGTATCGTCTGTTGGACCAAATTGAACTTCTTGATCGTTCTTCGAGGTTGAAAGGAATTCGTGCGTTCCTGTACGTAGCTCAGGTACACATGCTCTTTTCAAAATAAACGGTGTAAACATCAATTACAGTGACAATTTTAAATGTATTTCAGGGTACGTGGGGAGAAGTTCAGAGTGATGAAGAGCAGTTGATCTGGAGTAAAAAGAACTGCCTGTTGTTATACAAGCATGGCGTATTCGAAGCGATGGTACAGCAGCTGCGCTTGGAAATTGAGTAAGCTTTGCTATTCTTTGTGCTACGCCATGTCCTCCAACTAAATCGTGAAATGATTAATAGTTTCTATGAATGTTTTGCCTATTCACGGGACGGATTAACGATTTATAAAAAAAACATACTCTCTAGTTTTTCCTGAACATTCGGACCTGAAACCTTCAAAAGAAACCTCGCCCTAAAAACTACAGTAATTTTATGATCAACTTTGTAGTAATTCGTAATGTGTAGCTCAAGAAAATAAAATTCGCGCGAAGTTTGTCACCTGCTTTCACATGGTCAGTTTGAAATTTCATGCTGTGAAGCTTTCTGATGACGTTTTAAAATATCCTTTGTCAATAAAATAGGTCTTAAATATGTTCTTGATGTCTAGACGTGTTACTGTGTTAAGGCTTTAGTTGCGATAAATTGGCAGATTTGTTGGATATTCAAGTATGTATCGTGTTTGTTCTCCCCTTTGCACGTTGACGGTGTAATTTTCGATTCTCGTTGATCGGCTTTTGAATATTCTTCAAGTCCCTGTTCTCCATTCGTAGAGGAAGTCCTAGTCATGGAACTTCTGGTTACAAGTCACCAGTGAGCTTGTCGGACTCATTTGAGCTTCGAGCGATTCTCAGCATTTTGTACACGATGATTGAACTGCTTCGGTTGCCGTGTGAGGGAGAAAGTGAAGATGATGCGGAATGCCGAGAGAGGATGAAGCAAGAACTTGGTGCAGAAAAATAATGATCGACTTATCCACCGGATCGAAACTTACTTTCTGCTTCCGGTTTGATTCTTAGGTCAACCGTATGACGACGAGTTGCTGGCCGTGATACTATTTTCGATGATCACCAAGTTTTGCTCAAATAATGCTCCGCGCTTCCCCATGAAGAAAGTACTTCTTTTGCTGTGGAAGGTGCTTTTTGTTTCGCTGGGAGGCATGCCACATCTGGCTCGGATGAAGAGTACGTAGAAGGAGGGTCTGATTTCGAGCACGATTTATGCATACTGTATTGACGCTTCTTGATTGGTCGCAGATGAGAAAAGAATCGCGTACGGCCTTCCTGCCGTGACGGAAGATACGTTGGAAGTAGCCAAGAACATTCGTCCCGCTACTCCACCTATGTATGCCAGCGATATGTTGGAGCATTCGCAAGCTGCATTCAGTGGCAGGGGTTTGGGAGGTGGGCGTGGTGGACTATTGCGAAGAGTGAGAGCAATTTACATCCATAATTTATCTGTCTTCTTTCAGTGTCGTTTCCGCCTTTCCCATTATTATTATTATTATTAACAGCAGCCGATCGAATCTCCGTGCTGTAATAAGTCAAGTTTTTGAGATCATCCCCGCGGAAGAAGCGTCAAAATGGAAATTCATGTAAAGCCGTGAAGGAAATTCAAATTCTCATGTCGTTTTCAGACCTTGAAATTTGTAGAAAACCTTCATTCCTGCATTTAGACTTGAAAATGAGGTATACAGTACTCTTAAAGGAAAGATCATCTTGGTAATCTTAATTTCTGGAATTTACAGCTGGAAAGATTTGAATCACTGCTAAAAAATATTTTACAGTATCCTTAGAAACCTACTGTAACCTGACCTGTGCGTAAATTAGTCCAAACTAAACAATTTCAATGTTCGAGTGTCCCATCAGGGGGAAAGTTACACTTATTATATGCGTTTGATTCGAGTGTGGTATTGGTTTTCCTCTGCAATTTTGCTGAATTATGCCCTACCATTGGTTCAAGAAGTTGATCTTGAATTCTACGTATATTTTTTCATCAACTCACCATCTTTTTCTAGTAAATGCTCTGATAATACCTTATCTTATTATAATTCGAAAGCGGTAAAATACAACGACGTTCCATTTTAGGCGAAACCCATTTGAGGTGGAAATTAAGGTGTCTGGGACGCAAGCCTTGAATTAAAAATAATTGGCATATTTGCAGTCAATGCATCAATTGTTCGTTGAGGAACAGCGAACGATTTGATCAACAATGCCCAAATTTTGCTGCAAAGGATGATCTGTTGAATTCGTCGTAGATTTCAAATAGAACCTTGATTTTATGAAATGTATCCGTTGCAGGGCTTGATGAAACAAAGCTCTTTGGACGATTCATTTGACGGAGACAATAGCTTGAACAACAATAACGCTCAAAACAGTAACCAGGACGATGACGAAGAGAATGTCAAAGTGGACGACGACGCCGGAAACAATCCTAGTAACGGTGATATTCAGGGAGCTGACGAGGAATTGCGTGAGATCGAGGAACGTCGGAGGATGGAAGAGTCGGGCTTGGTTCCGGGTCCCCCGTCTCCCCGCCCTGCGACGCCGGTACCGCATCGGGGGAAAGGTCAGCCTTCTTTTTGTTTTTCTAGCAATACTAGGGGATATCTCGATTTTTACCTCCAGTTCGTTGGAAGAATGTGATTCTATGTGCTTTAAAATTTAATATGGTCAGAAAAATATTTTTTCATGATTTTCTCCACACACCGGGTTTACTTTTATTAAATTTCCACGCGCCGAATTTCAATTTGTAATTATACGCACGTAATCCCTTTTTTCTTGGAAAATTTCGTGTTAGAAATCACGTTTGACCTTGAATAAATGCGTCATTAACCAGAGATTCAATCTCGTTTCTTCGCTCTCTGGATCCGATAATCCGCAAAAGCCTATTTTTGTTTCGTATAAGTGGAAATTGGTTGGTCTAAAATTTAAAAATCAATTGTAGACCATTGGTGATGTTGAGGCGTCACTGACAGAAGTTTGGGGTTGATTTCTGAGAAAAGTGGTTGCACCGAAACGTTGCTCAAAGGAAGGGTAATAATGGGTGATGCATTGATCGCTGATAATTTTCTTCCATTATACTTGACAGAATCGGTTATGGAAAAAGAGGGTAGAATGATGAAGGCGATTTTTTAGGATAATCCGATAATCGTAACTGCCAAGCTTATGCTCAATTTTCTTTTGTGCGATGGTGGAGGAAAAACTGTACTGTATTGTGCCGGTAAATCAGATATTCCGTGTCATACTCCACTGTATTTCCGAAGTTCAAATATTTGCCGCATCAATGATTTCGTTCCAGCTTTACCATGGGCCCCGAAAGTGAGGATGAAAGACGTGGAAACTTTCCTGGAGAATGCGAGACTCAAGTTTTTCGGGTTCCCGTTGCGTGGTGATCGTGCGTCTTTGGCTGGATTGCCGAAACCGCTCCACGAAGGCTTGCGAATATTGCAGAAGGTTTTTGTTTTCCGCCTCGCATGAATGATTTGACACGAGTTCCATAATTTATTTTTTCTTTTGTTTTGCATTTCTAGCACATGTACGTGTCGCTTGCCGAGAAGCAAATAGAGGAAGAGGAAGAAGTGACGCGGCATCCATTGTCTCATCCTGAGGACACTCCAGATCGGAATCCTGTCGAAGTTTTGTACCAGGTGGGTTTTTTGATGCGTTGGCTCGAACTTTTAATTACGGTATACAGTACTTGTACATGTATAATTGAAAATTATCGTGATTCAACAAAGCTATCCCATTCAGTAGCTACCTTATGGCTCAAATTTGTTGTTGTTTAGATTTTTTAATATTTTAAGATCCAATAAATTTCAACGCTCGAAACTTTTTCCGTGCAGGCAATGGTTCCAAGTCTTCCGCAATACATGATCGCAATTTTGAAGATCCTTCTTGCTGCGTCGCCGACGTCAAAAACGAAAATGGACTCCATCAACATCATGGCTGACGTGCTTCCGGAGGAGATGCCGTAAGCTTTTTGAATCTCCCTCCGGCTGATATCAGTTTTGATTTTTGTTTTTTCGAAGTCAGTTTTAGTTGATACTATAGTATAGGTTCTCTTCAAGATTGAATGTCCTGTTTAATATTTTGATTGATCGCCTTTCATGATTTCAATGGATAGGATCAGCGTGATGCAGTCGATGAAGCTGGGAATCGATGTGAATCGGCAGAAGGAAATAATCGTGATGGCTGTCTCGGGAATCCTTTTGTTGCTGCTCAAGCATCTTAAGCTGAATCATGTGTATCAGTTTGAGTTCCTGAGTCAACACCTCGTGTTCGCCAATTGTGTTCCATTGATTTTGAAATTTCTCAATCAAAACATCTCTGCGTATGTTTCGGCAAAGAATAAGTGAGTACAGTACTTTTTTGTGCTAAGGTAATGCCTTAAATCCATAAATTGAACGATGACCACATTAACGCTCTTATTTTCGGGAAAAAAGACGAGATGTTTCTTTCGGAAAAAAGGCTATTTCTTTCGGGAAAAAAATATTGCGATTTATGGGTGAATTTCTCAACTTGAACAGTAATGCGGCACTTTCCTTGACTTAGAATTGAGAATTCCTGAGAATTTAAAAATTCTGTGGAATTTTTATTGAAAAAATGTCAGGTTTTGCTTGTACATAGACCAACAGTTGATGTTCATTTTCCAGCCCATGCCCATGCATTAATTTTTGTATGTGATGAATTAATGATTAAAAATGAGGTGCGACCTATACGCGTACTGTTTATGTACATAACTGCATGATTTATTTATTTATATTTTTTTAGCGTGGCGTTGATTGATTTCCCTTCTTGCGTGTTGAACAACACGAATGACCTGACGGAGGAAAACCTTGAGATAGGCTGTTCCCCCGGTGGAGGTTCGCAATCATCAGATCAAAATCTAGCAAAGGTTTGTTGGCGTAACATGGCGTCTACGGTGAATCTCCTTCGCATCCTCAATAAGCTGACCAAATGGAAGCACTCCAGAATAATGGTTAGTTTTTTTTTCTTGTTACTGCTATTGAGGTGAATGTGGGGCCCATTTGCCGACTTTGAGATACAGTGCAGTAATTTTAATGATTAACTGCGTGTTCTAAAACTATTCAAGTTCGCGCGAGTTTGCTACAACATTCGTAATGCAGTAAAGTTGATATCCATTTCACAATTTCCTAGCAACAGTGAGTTGCACATTCAACTTCCTTATGCCTTCCAGTAATCTATTTTTTGTACAACCCGAAACGTCTTTTCAAGCTTATATACGGGTACTAATTATTCGAAAGTCCCGCCTTCGTATTTTCAATGATAAATTATCCGGCTTACTGCTAAACGCTTCATATCCCAGGAGTGCCAAGACTGATGCGGTGAGTGAGGTTTATAAAGGCTGATGTGTGGTTTTCTTTGTCTTATTCCCAGATGCTAGTCGTGTTCAAATCTGCGCCGATTTTAAAACGGAGTCTGAAGGTGCGGCATGCTTTACTGCAATTGTACATTCTAAAACTTCTCAAGATGCAAACGAAGTACTTGGGACGGCAGTGGCGGAAAGGCAACATGAAGATTTTGTCTGCGATTTACAGCAAGGTTCGTCATCGGCTCAACGACGACTGGGCATTTGGAAATGGTGCGATCTACGGGGTTTAAATTCCTTTTTCTCGGATGATTTTTATCACCTTTTCTTTTGTCTCTGTGTGATCGTAGATTTGAATGCCAGGCCGTGGGATTTCCAAGCGGATGAATGCTCGCTGAGGGCGAATGTCGATCGCTTCAACAATCGAAGATATGGGACGGGAGCTGTTGTAAGTTTTTATTTTCTTCGTGTAGGAATCACGTCAGCGTTAGTCGAAGGCTGAAATTTTGAGCTTCTACAGTATTTTCAAATATTTTACATTTTTAGGATCCAGATTTCGAACCAATGGACACCTGGGTGGCAAGTGCTCTAGCCGTTGACATTGAGTTGACGGACGATTTCAAACAAAGATACGAAGTCTGGCTACAACACGAAGTGTTCAGCAATGCCATCGATTGGGACCAGCTAATAACCAAACCCAAGAAGACGACTTGATTCGTTCTCTGACGACGATCTGATTTTCTTTCCATCCTTTTCTTGGCCGAAATTGGATGCGTTTCTTTTTTTTAAATGTGAGATCTTCCCTTTTTCGTTGAAGGACTTGAATGACTTTGTATTGCATGATCGGAAGAAATCAGGACTGGTGAATATGAAGCCCTAATCAATCATTTTGGATGGAGAATTGAGATAAACGGTAGATTGTTTTTGAATACATCTGATTTTTTCTTTTGCTTGTGTCGCGAAAAAATACAAGACGAGGTCATACGCGTAACAATTTGAAATATAAAGATATAAATTGTCCAAACGGTTTTCCTGAGCATCATCCGCCACAATCTGAATTTATAACCTGAACGCGTTGGTTTCGTGCGTCGTGCGCTTTTATATTTCGTAATTTTATGGGGAAACATTCCTATTTACAGTACTGGTCCAGTGGATCTTTTATTACCCAAGCTTTTTTTTCAGGTATGCGTATATTAGAAAGCTTGAAGCCATCTGTTTTAACTGATCGAATAATTTCAAAAATTGCTACTGTACATCAGGATTGAATACCTAATAAACGCGGGAAGGTACAGTTGGCACTGCGAGGATGCTTTCATGCCAATTCCACGTCCAGCCATTACTGCTCAACCTTCAATTCTAAAATGTTTCGGAAGTAATAGCAAGCATTTCGGAGAAATACTGTACGTACCCATAATCGTGCTCGGATGTTCCTATGAATAACCCGAACGTTTTTCATAGAATTTATCATTAAGGAGACGCATACAAAAATCATTTTATTCAGCTCAACGCTTCAATGGTTGAATCTTTATGATCAATGCCCAATGCAAACAAGAAATGGAAGGCAATCGCGAGAAATCCTGTCCCGAGAAGATCGCCAAGAGCAGTTAAATATGGTATCGCAGAATTGTCTGGATCAATGCTCTTCTTCCACATCCAATGAACCAAAACATGGCAGGAATACAGCAGTAATGTCACCTAAAGAAACAAAAACCTATTGTACATCGGGTTTTCCCCTTAATATACTGTCTTAATTTGCTTATACCTGGAGCACCGCTGCGGTGAGATAAAAGGCCATAAACGCAGGAGAAACGGCTGTGTGTCCTGCGTTGAAAAATGCGATGAAAAGCGCGAATATCACGTGCCCAGGAATCACAAATGCCAAGAGTACCCTTATTGTAGCGGATTCCGAACCTAGAGGGAAAATCGAACAACCATGAAGTGATTTTGGCGCCCATCATCCTCAGTTATATTGTTAATTTGAAGACTGGCTTCTAAAAGAAACCCGCAATTCATTCGCAATGTAATAGTGCCCCTATTCCGGAATGCATGACACCGGTCAACTGGTATGCATAAATTAATGCCTGTCCCACATCAACTGGGCCTCAAACCAAACGAGGAGAAGATGCCGTGCCTCCACGAAGCCCTCAAAATCAGATCGCAGTTCAGCTGCTTGCTTCGTATTAAAATGGTGAGCAGATAGAAGGAATGCTTTAAAAGTTTGGTCAGGATTTATAAATTAAGTTCATCGCATACTTGAGTTTCAAGCACCGATTCATTTTTTGAGAAATGAAAACTTCCTGGTTCCAATTCGATTTTTTAGTGAATATTTTCAAGACGGTTGAAAATATGTTTCAAATATCATCTCTCTCATGTCTTGTGATATTTTCAAAATATTCGGATCAATAGTTTCTGACAAGAAACAGAAAACACTTTTTGTTGGTTGCAATCGCAAGGGGTATAGTAGTCCGATTACCCGACTTTTTCGATGTCTTATCACGCTCATACGAATTTCAAAATTACGCGTTCTTCCTCAGAACTATGACAGGACAAAATCTAGTTTCAGAAACTTGTAAGAGAATCATTTCACATAAAATTAAACTTTCCCAAGTACCAGCATTTTTTACATTCACTAGGAGAGGGCAAGAACTCGCTGGGAGACGTGGAAATATTTAATGCATTCGGACACATGCGGGAAACAAATTTGCATGAGTCATTTGTTATGCTTGCAGCTGTTGTTTGAGTGAGACCAGTTAAAAAAAAAAGGCATGAGTTAAAAATGCGTAGAATTGAAATTACCTGCTATGGTTCCTTATTCAAGTACAATATTTAAGTAAAAAATACGCGCGCTTCTTGTAATGAAAAATCGCGAAAAGACCTGAAAGCTCCAACTAGTTCATCTCAATTAAACTTGCGGATGAGCATTTCCGAGCACTCGTACAACAGCAAAAAAAAATATACTCTTCGTCCAAGACACGCGTTCTTTCTTGTACAGTACTACTCTTTTTCTGAGGTAAAATTCCAGTCGAAACGACTGTAAGAAAAATTAAATCGCTGTATACGCACCTGGGTCGGCGAAAAGTTTACACGGGTTTGCCCAGACAGTGCCGTGGCAACTGGCAGGCAGTTGTCCAAACGGACACCTGGTGTGTAAGAATGTGGACAGTCGGGATGCTTGAACTGCGGCCAAGTTGCCACCTGCACCGTTGATCACCGGTTGAAACACGGCTATCCCCTTGTAGATGCCCACGGCGTATCCGAGGATCATTCCCCCTAAGCTGAAATGAGGAATCTATTAATCTCTTGACACTGAAATAAACAGCTTTTTTTGTTTCCTCTTACAAACCTGCTGATCAACATGGCACAAATCACGGGAGTCCAGCCCGTCTTGAGCACCACGTTTGTTTGAGGACATTTCCTCGCCATCATTTAGGTATTTCCGCAGCAGTCGTTCTTTGGGCGCTATTAGCGGCCACCTTAGGTCAGTGAGCGAAGACATGTCTTTTTGTACTTGGTCTTTTTTTTCCGGTCACCTGTACTTTTTATAACTTATGAATTCAACAACCCCTTATAAAACATCTACTTTAAATAATTCCTCATAGCAGCATTCAATTCCTACAGTTTCACGAAAAAAAAACAAATTTTCGTTAGCGAACAAAATTCACTCCCCAGTCTAGAAATTTATCACATACACCATATACTCGTGATCAAGTTGAATGTCAATATACATGAACGATTCTTCAATCTCGTGGCATGTTACACCTACAGTGTAAACACTACTGGACTTCTTGTGAAAAAAAGTTGAACAAAAATTCTGTGAATAATTGCAACTGTTTTCAGGCACCGCAACACAGAGTTGTGAATTAAATTCTTTAAAAAATAGTTTTCACTCACAGAAAAAAAAGGCGAAACGTTCCTCTTGTCATACATTTTGAGAATAACTTTAATTTTTTTTAGAATGGAAGAATAAAATATGGTTCGATGAAAATATCCCTCAAGGTTTTCAATATTATCACGTTCCAACATCCTTAAATAGTTAAATTAACTCTAAAACATTACGGCACAAAATTCTACATTTAATACTGTAATATTTAAAACGAACATATTAAAGTTTGCACAAAGAAAACGTTAGCCCAATAATTTGACCGCGACACACAGTTTTAAAAGTATGTAAATTCGACTTTCACGCATTCGTATGTATGAAATAATGCTCAGTTCTGTCGCTATTTCATCCAAATTTGTGCCACACTTTATTCTCCCCTTTTACAGTACTTATTCCGAGATCATGAAGTGGAGAGGGGTCAAAAGACGAGCATACGGCTCTTCGGAAAGCTAAGACGATTTTTGGGACATGTATTCGTTGTTTTACCTGGAAAATTAAGACCTCATACAATGATCACATCATTATTTGAAACAATCAGGCTAGTTTCAAGAGGCACCATTGTATTCCCAACCCATGCATGTCCGTCTTCGTCAGATCGCAATAAAAAAAAACCTATTCTGACCTGCGTAAAGCCACTTCGCAGTGAACGCAAGGAGCGCCAAAGTCGTCAAGTCTCCCAACGAAGCAGCAATCGGAGTCGCAACGTTGTCAGGATTGATGCCGAACTCTCTGCTACCAATGATCACGAAGATCATTATGACTCCTACATTCAAACAAAACATCAAATATTGCATTATATAGCAACCCTAACGAAAGTGAATGATCGAAAAACAATTCATCCATTCTTTCATTACCTAAAATGAAACTCGCCAAAGACGCCGTTGTAAGAGCGGAAGCACACAAAACTAATCCGTGGCGGAGGTTGTAAGTCCCGTCAGGGATAAAGCCGAGTCCAACGGCGGCAACAGACGCCAGAAAGGCGACCACAAGAGCTTGGCACTAAAATTGTATTCAGAGAAACTTTCATCAGAGGTTTGGCTGGATTCAGGTTAGCCCCCTAAAAAGTTTTTACACAGAACTTGAACCTCCTCAAGTCAAAACACCTCCCTATTTGAAATATTTTTCAAATTACTGTCTGATTTCCCTTAGAAACAATTAACGCGTTAAAAACAACCGCCCCAACTCGAATGCTTTCCTCTGCAAACCTCCAGCTCGGAATTTGAGACACCATTTTAAATTTATTTTTGAAAAGTGACATGGACTTACTCTCGGTTCAACCTCCATCAGTTATCGGTAGCTCGTCGAGACCTCAGTTCCAATGGCTCCAACCGAACTCAACTATTAGCGCTTCGGTCTCAGTAAAGGTTTAACGGAAAGAGACCCAGTAAGGCAGGAACCATAACAAAGATTTCACTCAGGTCTTGAAAAACAGTCCAGTGCTGAAAGGAAGTATGCGTATTCTGTTAACGATACTGTATTCAGTGTAGAACTTTTTATGAGGCGAATTCAGCGTTCCACAATTTCGAATTTTTGTGAACAGTAATTATGAACTACATTAATGCGGAACATTCATGGTGGGGTTTCTAATGACGAACTCATTTGCAACGTATACTCGATCTTTATTTATTCCGTAAATACAGTTCTTATGTCGCGTTCAATTCCAGTCCTTCATCTGCTCGTACTTCCAAAACAGAACGAAAGGTGTAATTATTTAGAACGTTTCAAGTTACTTTAAAAAAAAAGCATTGCGATTAAATTCAAAGTTATTAAAAAGGAAAGTTAAATTATCAAGGTACGCGTTTGCTGATTGACTCTTTTTGGCGCGTTGATTTATTAAATTGATCAATTTCCAGGAAGTTTAATAAATGACGAAATACATTCATACTTCACAATGTATTGCATGTACTGTATTAGCACACAGATTGAACCCTTGGAACGCGAGACGCGAAAGTTTGCCACAAGCTTTACTTCTTTACACATAACCTTTTTTGGGCGAAACAAAAGAAAATTGAAAGGATCCGTTTAAAGAACAACAAACGAAAGCCATCATTTGTGCTGTATTTTACTCAATTATACGACTGAAATATTGCGATTCTAGCATGTATTGCAAAACATCATTTGAATGTGAACATGGTGGACAACTTTTGAAGCAGTTATACAGCATCTCCCATACGGTTTAAGCTCGAACAAATAAATAAAAACCCGAACATTACAAATCCAATTATATTTTAAAATAATCCCACGTTTATAATATCAATTTTACTCTCATCAGTTGGCACGTTTGAATCACATATACCCAGATACAAAGCTGCTAAGCGTTTTCATGTGCGAGCTGCAAGGATTCTTACGGAGGTTGTCACAGTTAAGCGAGGATTTATTTATTTTTTAATCCAGAAAAGTAAGTGACGAAACAGCTTTGCCGATATAACAGATTGGTAATACAGGTCTGTGGGAAAGAAAAATAAAAACTAGCATTCAGGTGGCGTGGCGACGAAGGTTAGCTTTTTTAAAGAAATCATTACGTTATTTCTGGAGATTTTGGAAGATTATTGCCTTTTCTGTTTTTGCTCAATTAAATTTTTTGGAATAATCAATTAGGGCTCAATTCGCAACTCTATCCTGAGATGTGGGCACAAGAACTTTGTTACTTTATCGTTAATTCCTCTTCTACTTGAATAAAATGCTTCAGACAATAATAAAAGGATGCACCCATTCTCTCGTACGTTAGGTTTGACTGCCAATTATTTTTTAAATACAGTACTGTACAGTATAGCAGTTTATGTTTACACGATATCCTTCCATGAGATTTTTTATTTCCCGCTTGGAAAATCCCACGACTGCTGTGACCAGAGTACCATAGTTGAAAAGCTCGGGGTCACGAATATAACTAATTTTCAAGTCAACTAACCTGAACGATGTCGAGCAGTAATCCTGCGCACACCATTCCCACGCCGGCTATCAGGAAGGGCAAAAACACTTGTGACGCAATCCTAAGAGCCGACTCTTCTTTCGCCGTCTCATTTTCGAAAATGAGCGGCTCATTATCGTGCCCGACTTGCAGTCCGGAATACTCGTCGCTTGCTCCACCGATCCCCGACTGCCCTTCCGTACCAAAGCTTTTACTCGAGCCTCGTCGCAACGGCGGAGTGCCGATGAACGGGGTTTCTTCGTCAGTCGCCGGCTCGTCGTTCATGGCTGCCAATTGGCGCCGATATCGCACTACAGATTCCACCATTATTTCGGGCAAGTCAGAGGAGATTCACAGCACAGCGGCAGGAAATTAACACTGAACAGATTACACACCGCGCAAAGGCAGCGTGACTTCTGCAACGAACTCCCCAGACCGCCAGGAATGAGACGGACGGGGAGTGCGCATACAAACAGAGCTGGCTGAGGCGGGTGACGAAGTGCGCGCGAGTCTGACCGAAGTATTAATACGCATTTACCTCTTCTCAACAAAACCCTTCTAAGATTACAGATAAACACGCACAATTTTGATCTTATTGAACACATTTGAATTTTCTGCTCACTATTAGGGCGACTGGGAATGCTCAAATTTTGTTAATTATGATATTCAAGAATTAATCTAGTTTCCAATTTCTCAGGCAACGTAACTTTTGTACTTTGATTAGAATCATCATGGATGCGCTCTCGGTGCATCGGGACAGGTCCTGTCCCTCAGTACTTTACCGCGCTAGTGGGGCACCAGCTGTTCAAGTTCCATACAATGAATGGAAATTACAGTATAGTTAACCGGCGGCATGCTATGATTATTTTTATCATTGAAAGAGAAAATTTGCTCCGCTAGACGCTGAATTCTTTAGAGTAAAACTTACGAGTTGAAATTGTTTCCATTAAATTTCCGGAAATGTAAATCGCATATAACTGTATATACCGGTATATATATCGCGCCACAATTATGTATTTTGCAGCTACACTACGTACTGAATTTTGACTTTTTGAACGCTGAAACCTACAATAATTGTTTTTTCGCTACATTTTTGAAGTTTAAGAAACCGTGACAACTATATACTTTCATCGAAGATGCGACATACTGTATAAAAATCGTTCAAAGGCATGTGTACACCGTACACTCTTTATGAGTCTTATTGCTTTTGGATTATAGTTAATTCAACTACCAGCAGCGCTCTCGTACAGTATACATAGACACTTCAAATATAAAAATCCAATTGGACTAAAAATATATATTTTATAATTTATTGGATAAGTTCATATAACTCAAATTTAATGTTATGCTTAATAAACTATTTAATTTGCTTTACTGTATAAAGTAATTGGAGACATTTGAATATTTAAATCGATTTTACGTATTCAAACAGCTAATTCCTCTTCTCTTTTCAAGAATGTCGATCACTCGCTCAGCAGAAGCAGTGTCGATCGATGCGCAGAATGAAGGACACCCGAAGGAAATGTAACGGGCAAATTCAAATATTGTAAATAAAGAAATGCTGTAGATCCAATTAAAAAAAAGATGCAGTACTCTTCGAACAAAACGCCCTGGTATAAAAAAACCAACCAACAACAAACAAGATAAGAAAAACAAATACATGCATCAGGAGCAATCACACACATATAGATGATGACCCACCTTTTCTTTCTTAATTCCCAGCGGTCCTGGTGTACGAAAGGCTCTCCCGATTAGTTGGTGGTGGTAGTGCCTTTGTGTTCTTCGTGGAGCTTAAGTCGATAACTAATAGACAACCTTTATAGCTTACCTTACGGTATATATATATGAAAGGGCAGCAGGATTTACACTTCATAACATGAATGAAAACGAGATAAAATTTTTAAGATACGTCATATATATACTGAGTGTTTGAAACATATACTCGAATATATATGTTCAATTTGAGGCACTATATATATAACGAAATGAATGAATCGAACGAAGACATGCATGCATCGCAGCCGCGAACTGTTTTTATATGAAACGCAACGCCTAATTTCGCGGATATCTCAACGATAAATATCGTCTAATAAATGTTATTGCATAAACAGTAGGATATAATTCAAGATAGATGGATTTCATACAAAATACAGCAGTAAGTGCCAAGCATGTTTAAAATTGTTCCGTCAAATTATGCAATAAGTATCAGCTATTATGTATTTGCCTCGTTCAAAATGCATATTGCAAACGTACACGAATATCCAGCAATTTATACTCTATTGCTTAATTTTTCCGCGCAATGTAAGCTGACTTTATTTTGAATTCAAGTAGCGGTTGAATAACTTAATTAAGATGTAAAGATGACATCGTCTGACTTGGCATATTTATTCTAAAAATTATATTTGACCTGAGTACGAGACTCAACAGAAGATTCAGTATATTTATTGTCTCATCGTGAGCCAGCACACGACTATATATGATGCAATGCACGGAAGTAAAATATACATGGGTTGCTGCATATTATATTGCATCTAAACAAGATACAGCAGTAATTAAATATATAGTTAGTTTTCATTTAATGTCTGGTATGTTTGGTTATACAGTACAGTCTCTGTACTTGGGTAAGTTCAGAGCAGAATGTACGGCATATCTCGGGTAATATACTTAATGTACTGTACGTCATCATCTGTGCAGTACTATAAGTCGTTGTACGGTACAATAATTCAAATGTGGCCCTTTCCTCTGACACCTTTCAGAAACTCGTGAGTTGTGCGCTTTTTATTTTTAGAACGGCAGCTAGATGTCACTTTTGATTGTTCGTGACTACTGCCCTAGTGCGCTGCTGTGTGATTCAATACGGTATTTTCATTTTTGTTTCATGAAGATTTTCCAAGCAGCCCTTATATCCGCGATTAAATTTCCCGAACGTGTTGGCTTATCGTCCTAACTAATCCCCTGAACAAGAATTTCTGTTTACTTCTTTTACCAATTTATCATTTCTTGAAAATACTGCCTCAACTTTTGAGACAATTTCAACGCGTCATTCCGCTAACCGGGTGAAAAGACCTGTCACAAATAGCAGGTGTTTAACTGAAAATCAAATTTTGTAGACTTTCACAATACAGTACTGTTATGCTAGTACAACCCACTCATCAAAACGCTTGTAATCCTGCGTAAAACAGTAGAGGCTGTCGCCAGGACCACATGCTTTCCGAGAGGGCTAATCAACCACCACCATCACGGAAACACAAGAAGCACCTCGAATTCAGCTATTGATTATCTGTTGGAAATATCGAATGGAATGCCATATATATATATAGAAAGGGCAGCAGGATTTACACTTCATAAAATGAATGAAAACGAGATAAAATTTTTAAGATACGTCATATATATACTGAGTGTTTGAAACATATACTCGAATATATATGTTCAATTTGAGGCACTATATATGACGAAATGAATGAATCGAACGAAGACATGCATGCATCGCAGCCGCGAACTGTTTTTATATGAAACGCAACCCTAATTTCGCGGATATCTCAACGATAAATATCGTCTAATAAATTTTATTGCATAAACAGTATAGGATATAATTCAAGATAGATGGATTCCATACAAAATACAGCAGCAAGTGCCAAGCATGTTTAAAATTGTTCCGTCAAATTATGCAATAAGTATCAGCTATTATATATATTTGCCTCGTTCAAAATGCATACTGCAAACGTACACGAATATCCAGCAATTTATACTCCAATGCTTAATTTTTCCGCGCAATGTAAGCTGACTTTATTTTGAATTCAAGTAGCGGTTGAATAACTTAATTAAGATGTAAAGATGACATCGTCTGACTTGGCATATTTATTCTAAAAACTATATTTGACCTGAGTACGAGACTCAACAGAAGATTCAGTATATTTATTGTCTCATCGTGAACCAGCACACCACTATATATGATGCAATGCACGGAAGTAAAATATACATGGGTTGCTGCATATTATATTGCATCTAAACAAGATACAGCAGTAATTAAATATACAGTTAGTTTTCATTTAATGTCTGGTATGTTTGGTTATACAGTACAGTCTCTGTACTTGGGTAAGTTCAGAGCAGAATGTACGGCATATCTCGGGTAATATACTTAATGTACTGTACGTCATCATCTGTGCAGTACTATAAGTCGTTGTACGGTACAATAATTCAAATGTGGCCCTTTCCTCTGACACCTTTCAGAAACTCGTGAGTTGTGCGCTTTTTATTTTTAGAACGGAAGCTAGATGTCACTTTCAAATGTTCGGGACTACTGCCCTAGTGCCCTGCTGTGTGATTCAATACGGTCGTATTTTCATATTTTGTTTCATAAATGGTTCTCGAAGCAGCCCTTATATCCGCGATTAAATTTCCTGAACGTGTTGGCTTATCGTACTAACTAATCCCTTGAACAAGAACTTCTGTTTACTTCTTTTACCAATTTATCATTTCTTGAAAATACTGCCTCAACTTTTGAGACAATTTCAACGCGTCATTCCGCTAACCGGGTGATCTCTGGACAGTGTTTATCGTCCACAAATTGACTTTTAGTTTAAAACATCTGAAAGTGTTATGTCATGACAATACGATCATGTTGGGTGAGTAGTTTTGCGAACATTAGGACGCATTTTGTCATCTCCGACGACACAGCAATCGAGTAGAAAATAAAGCTGAAACCTGGCCCGATGTTAGCAGAAGCTGACTTCTTAATCATTCTTAAGGAATACTGTACACAAGAATAACTTTTCTGAGAAAAGTCTGCAAATGTATGCAGACAATGCAGTGCTTATTTTAGCTATCAAAGGGAACATTTCAAATATACTTATTGTAGACCATGTGTTTTAATATGTAATAACACACTGTATATTGTACCTACAATACAACCTCTCTATAATTCAAAATTTTCCCCAATTTAAATTTCCAGCGAATCTCTGGTTAATCTCTTCAGACTAATTAATTTTAAACCTCATCGCTTAATCGTATCTTTAATGCTACAACCTTTCTTATACAACCTCTCTATAATTCAAAATTTTCCCCAATTTAAATTTCCAGCGAATCTCTGGTTAATCTCTTCAGACTAATTAATTTTAAACCTCATCGCTTAATCGTATCTTTAATGCTACAACCTTTCTCAAAAATTGCATCATTTTTGAGCTATCAAACTGGGCTAAATTTCAGAACAGACCTTAGAAAATCCCAGAAAATGATGCTAATTATCTTTTTAACGCTTTCCACGGGCGGTAACTTTCTGTAAGTAGGACATTCAAGAATAATGATCTCTGATAATTAGGCCAAAATAA